CATATCAAAAGATGATGCATAGGTTTTTATTGTAATTAGGTTCCAATAAGCCCAAATAGCAAAGACAAATAAAAATTGCATGTAAAAAACTGCTTGGGCCTTAAAAGGTTAAAAATGAAACTTCCCTGACTTACTAGACTCTCTATGATTGTTTCCAAACCCCTTACTGTATTTTTATCTGAATTTTAGGACACAACATAGAAAATTCATGATACTAATTACAATGAAGATACATATACCAACTCAACTGGTATATTTACAGATAATGTGATTGCCTACCTCTACCAAGTGTACTCATTCCATCACATAGCATCTCAATGTTGTTTGAGTAATTCTGCAAACACCTGAGGGAAAGTCCATATTCAAAATAATATCTAATGTTTATTTTCCTCACAGAAATGTGTCACACAAATGCTTTGCAAAACATCAATGTTAAAATTTTTGAAAGCTGTTCCCTATATCACTTTGGCATATAGAAGAATGCATCTGTAAGTCTTTTTGTTTGTTTGTTTGTTTTTTGCTGTCGTTGTTATTGTACATGCATATATTTTACAGCAAACCCTGATCCAGTGGTATACTGTAATGTTGTTAAATATGATTTATCTGAGATTTCAGCATGGGACCCTATGAAGCCAAAAAAAAAAAAAATCTGAACAAAAGTTTACATCACAAATGTTTTCCTTGCTGCCCTGTTTTTAAATAGTTCAAAAGCCCCAATATTGCAGCATCCAGCTGCTGTGCTCATATGATGAGCAGCGTTCGCTCATGTGGTGCTGTGAGTAAATAGGCTGAGTGTGGCTCTGTGGAGAGGGGCATATGCCCATGCGGCGATGCTATCATGCACACTGATACGATAGTAGGAAACAAACTTGTCTCGTCTATGACTGAATTACAGCAAAAGAGGCTTGTATCAGCACTGTACTGCTGAGTTGACATACCCACTGCTGGGAAGCTGAAAACCGGCCCACTTGCTCGGCTGTCCTAGAGGTCACACAAATCCCTACTATGCAAAATTGCCCCTCACCCTCCTCGGAAACACACATTTGTCATTCCCCGCTTAATTTACCAACCGACTGTGTAAAATAACACTGCAGAACTGAAAGGATGGAGGGAAGGAAGCAGGCGGCTGAAGGCAGAAAGATCATTGGAAGCGAATAATCTGTCCTCTACTCATCCTCCCGTAGCAGCGATGGCTCCCCAGCGAGGAATAAAAGCCATCATGTGCAACACACTGCAAACAGAGCTGCAGACAGGCACGGAGGAGAGCTGGAGACGCTGAGGATGTGAGACGCTGGTAGTCTGACTTCTGCACAAGCTGAGCTGCCGCTGCTCTGCAGTGATTTACGCCACGCTCAAAATGGCGAGTGGCAGACCGGGCGATTAATCTGTTTAACTGAAACCGATTGTTCATACAGAGTAATAGGACAGGAAATTATCAGGCTGGCTCAAATCACCACAACGACCGCATGCGCATTCAATCTGTTGAGAAGGTTAATCGGGCTTTATACATTTCAGGCAAATTCATTATTACTGGCAGTCTCTATCATTAGGACAGGTCTTGGAGAACACAGCAATTTGAGAGGAGTGCAAGAATGAGTGTGGAGCTGATGGGAAGAATGGCATGCATGACAATGCACATGTAGGAAAACAAATACTGCATGCTTAAAAGAATAGTTCACCCAGAAGTTGAAATTGCTCAAAAGTGAATTCATTTACTCACACTCAAGCATTTCTAAACTTTTATCAATTTCTTTCTGCTGTTGAACACTAAATAATATATTCTAAAGAATGCTGCGGGGGAAAAAAAACTCATTGGTATCCATTAAGCATGGGATGATAACCGTTTTCAAGGTACACCACGGTTTGGAGAAGGCAACGTTTTAAAACCCCCCAATTTTTCTGTTATACTGCTCCTAAGGGATATTTTGTAAAGTTTATTTTAGTTTTTAGAACAACCGTATCTCCAGCAGAAAAGATATCCAAAGATGCTGTTTTAAATGTTAAAGAAATCAGTGTTATTGAAACTTATGAAGACAGCAGAAGTCAATAATTCATTTGAAAATATTCCAAAATATTATAAATGTTTCTTAAAATAAAATATATTGTGTTCAAAGGGGAAAAAGTATCAATTTAAAAAGAACTTATTTTAGAGCAGTAATCATAATACCGTGTAACAGTGATATTTTTATCCAAGGTTATCATACCACCAGAATCTTATACCAGCCCATCTATAGCATGAACAAATCATAATATGGATGTCAAGGGCTGCTTCAAAATATTTTCTTTTGTGCTCAACAGTGAAGGGTGAGTGAATGATAAGAACATTTTTATTTTGCGGTGAACGATCCTTTTGATGGGTGAATACTTTCTGAGATCAGTTTTGGTGGTTTAGTAGCGATTTCATATGAATGTATACATTTGTAAATTTTTATATGATGTGATTTTCTTGGTGGTTTGCATTTTAAAGTCAAATTAATTTAATAAAATGTAAATTGAAGAATTTTCATTGGCCAATAAAACTAAAAAAAAGAGAGAGAAATGCATGATATATTGGCATTCATCCCCAAATGAATGCTTATTTTTTTATGAATGATCACGGTGGCTCAGTTGGAAGCAGCCCCAGCTGGGTCAGCTGGCATTTCTGTGTGGAGTTTGTATGTTATTCCTGTGTTCGTGTGGGTTTGCTGCAGTTGCTCTGGTTTCCCCCACAGTCATGTGGTATAGGTGAACTGAATAAGCTAAATTGGCCGTAGTGTATGCGTGTGAATGCAAGAGTGTATGGGTGTTTCCCAGTGTTGGATTGTGGCTGGATGGGCATCCCTTGCGTAAAACATATGCTGGATAAGTTGGCGGTTCATTCCGCTGTGGCGACCCCTGATTAATAAAGGGACTAGCTGAAAAGAAAATGAATGCATTATGGATTATTTTATCTGGCTGGCCCACATCACATGTGTGCTGCAGGGCAGGCCATGAGGGTTTTGATTGGCACCTTAGATGATGCAGCATTTTGCATGCAGCAGATGTATGCTTTAAAAAAGGTAATACAATATTATTAGCAGGCAATTTGTAAATGATTCCAGGAAAATAAAACATTTCCTTCATTTCAGCATTTAGGATTTAAAAATAATTATTACAATACAACTGTTGTTATCAGTCCCAAAACTGTCCATGTTTGTTCTAATGAAATTTATTTATGCTATTTAAGGTTCAAAAATAAAAGTTGAAAATGTATAAAATGAAAAATTATTTTTTTATTATTAAAAAAGCAAATTCATTCCTTTTCCTTTGGCTTAGTCCCTTATTTGTGGCAAAAAACAATTCCAGCCTATTTTTTATGCATTGAATCCCCTTCCAGCCGCAACACAGTACTGGGAAACACTTATACACTCTCACATTTACACATGCACTTATACACTATGGCCAGTTTAGTTAATGTCTTTGAACTGTGGGAGAAACTGGAGCAACCCATGCAAACATAGGGAGAACATAAAAACTCCACAGAGAAATGCCAACTGGTCCAGCCAGGACTCAAACCAGTGACCTTCTTGCTGTTAGTTGACAGTGCTAACAATTGAGCCACAATGCTGCCCCCAAAAAAGTGAATTATACTCCATAAATCCATTCTGTTAGAATGACATATTGCAAAACATTTTCTTCCATCAGTATTGTTGTACTCTGCAGGGAATATTATGAGAAGGTTCATTCTATATAAATTTGAGACATGCTAGCAATAGCACTAGCTTTAAGACCATAATATCCCACCTTTGGTCCAAATGCAATGATTGGACAAACGTTTTATAGTCCTGAGCCCGCCACATAAGATTGAAAGCAATTTAAGTGTGTGTACCTGCTTCAATCAGTTGTACTGTACAATACATAGTGTTAAATGTAACGGGAAATTCAAAATCCTTCCAGTTTGATTGGATTGGGTTTATGGTGCTGTCTCTGCAGAAAGTTAAAGAAATACAATTCTTGTGCTGCATTTTTTTTAACCTTGCTTTCCACAAAGCGCAGCTGCCTGGGAAGCACAGCTCCTCCTATCACTTCATATCACAGCACAGCAGACAACAAGAAAATAAGGAACACTGTATTCAGTGGTTAGAACTCAGTATTGAACATTACGTGACAGAAATAGCAAGTGAATTGAGCACAAGCAGAAAGAACCAGTCCAGGCACACCCACAGTTGATCTGCACTATTACCCCCTGAACTTATGGTAAAATCCACTGAGCATGACGGGAAATGCCAAAAAAAAAATGTTAGGAAAGTATGGCGCACTCTTAAAGTGACATCAGCATATGAAGCCGACTTCATTCTGGCCCACAATCCCTCAACATGAGACTACACAGAAGGGGTTCATGGACAAACTATGGCAGACATTGACTGTATTACCACAAGATTCAAATACAAACACAGACACAAATTTCTGCAATGCCAGCAGATATGTCAACAGATTGCACACAAATACATTCAAACATTCACACACATGAACACACAGTGAGAAAGCCCAGCTCAGGGCATTGGGGGAAGGGTGCTCACATGAATATATCGTACACTTGGTGCACTACATGCACTTAGCCTGTATTTGTGCCAGTTGAGAGCCGGAGGACAGATTTCACAAAGAGACACCAGTGCTGACTGGACGGGGGCCAGGCATTCCCTTAACTATGGCTACAGTTCAGTTCACAAAGCAGGTACAATATATATATTCTGTTAGCTTCACGTCACTTTGAAGTTAAAAAGAATGGTGATTTACCACGTTTGTACACAATATTTATTACAATAACAATTCAAAAAAGATCAGAACTTCTGTTTTATGCTTCAGATTGTTTACTCTTCTTAATCTAATGTCAATATGTTCATAATAAGTGATCCAATATTGATTCTGATCAACTCTAGATCCATCAACAAAGGCGATACTACCTGCTATCCTCTAAAGCTCTATTGCCATGGCAATAAACAGCATTATTGTACATGTAAACAGCTTCAAATTGAACTCACAGGCATTGGTCACGGCGAAGCTGTTGGCCGTCTCAATGTTGTCCACATGGGGTACCAAGTTAAAAGGGGCTTCGGATGCATTAGGGCTTGTGTTGTGAAGAAAAATGGCCAACCGAAAGGCCGTGTACTCCTGATCTGTGTTCCTGATGAACAGGCCGCCTGCAGGAAAGATGGAGAGTCATAGCAAGAAGGAAAGAGAAACAGGAGAGAGGGAGATGTGAATGAAAGACAGAAAAATAACACATTGCACCAAATGTCAAATGGGAAACTGTCTATTTAAATAAGGAGAAAAGGAAATGTATGGGTACAAAAGTACACATGGTTCAAGGATATTGAAATTCAAATAACATGCCAGATGATGAGATGAGTCAAGTGCACACTCTGAGCGTTCACAGGCGAATAACCCCATTATGCACACATGTGACATCTCATATTATGCACTACACAAATGTGTAATATTTTAAATGGAACGTAAAAAACATAGTAAAGTAACCTTTACAGTAGGTCAACCCTACCATATACAGTGAAAATGCATGTGTACTGTAACAGTCCATGAATATGCTTTCTAGAGTTAAATGCTGCAAAGATATTCTTATAGCCTAGGTAAATTTTTGGGGTCGACAAAAAGTTTAAATTCCCAGTAAAAACGCTTATCATACTCACCAATAAAATGCATGTCGATCTAATTAAAAGTATTCTAAAATTAACCCTTCAAATGCTAATCAATAATGTAAATATGTCACGTTTCATCATTGATTGGCGTAACTTATGTGCGTCGCGCATGGAGAGACTCTGTTAAGTGACGTCACTTTTAATCCAAAAACGCTTTTTTATAGCTAAAGAAACCATTTTAATAATCAATCTGTGGTAGGAAACCATGAGGAAGCAAACTGTTGACGGCCTATCACACGACCTGAGTTATCCAAAGCAAGAGAGAAGTTTACATTAAATGATCCCAGAGGCTCATAAACGCAGGTTGATGTGTCAAGTGCTTTGGCAGAGGCCAGTGTTGTAAATTGAGAGGTGTTTCCCAAGCGCTTAACTTACCTTTAACGGTAACATATAGAGATATTAGAAACTAAACGCGTATTTCAGTGTTTTTGCTTGTGTTGAGCGCAAAAGCGACACGCAGCCAGAATACATACACAAACTCGTGCGCATGCGTAACAACCACATGGTGTGTAAATGGACTTTTAAGTGAAATAATAGCTTTAACCCAAACATCTTTTCATGAGAACAGTAATGTATTGATATCTAATGGGAACTATTTTTGTATCATACCTGAAAAGGTTTTGGAATGTTAGAATAGTTGGTAATTGTTAGTGGAAGGATTTCCACATATCTGCATTGGCTATATACGTTTCTGAATCCATAGTAAGATAGGACAGTATTCTGTACATAAATTAATTTTCCAAATAATCGTTTAACTGGTAATTTTGCACTTCACTGAGCTGTGCTTTAGAGTTAATGGGAATGTCTGTAAAATTAATGTGATTATGCCCCTGCTAGAAAATCACCAGATATTTCATTCATTTATTTATTCTTCATTTATTTATATATTTCACTTCATTCAGCATAATGGGCGTGGAGCGTGACATGGAAAACCCGGAGTGTACCTGGATTGGAGTGTTTATAGAACGCTTCGAGCAAGGAAATCTGCCCCACTAATAGGCAATTCCACTCCAGACAGCGTGTTGCTTGGTGACACGAAAACCGACACTTTGGCTACTTTTGGAGCCAAATGCTTTCTATCCAGTTTGCCCAATATTAACCAAATTGCTTCAATTTGTTAAGTGATAAAGACTATAAATGTAAAAGATAAAATAAAAACATCTTTCTTGCCTGAACAAAAAAACACAATATTAAATTTTACACCACCATATATCACCCAGTTTTGTTTTATTTTCACTGTAAACAATGTTTGTTGTAATATATATATATATATATATATATATATATATATAGTTTTATATCAAGATTAAAACATCACATTCCTTAGACAACAGTAGCTACATTCTCCGTGAAATACTAGCCTAAATATCAGGAATAACAGGCACCAGGAGTCTGACAGCGTATGGCACAGGGCTTGATGCAGTATTGGAATAAATTAAGCCACTTTCCATTAACGAGGTGCTGAACTGACATTGAAGTCGATGTGCGATTAACCGCATTATTTTGATTTTACAAATCATTCGTTCAAATTTAAATAAACTTTCATTGCGTTTGTGCCGAATGATCCATCTTCAGTAAAACAACGTCCCGTTAGAGCCACGGAGAGTACTGCAGCACTGTGCCATAACCAAAACGTGGCACACTGATCTGGATGACAGCTAAAAACAAACAAACAAAAAGTACCCGACAAACTATTTCTCAGTAAAATTACCCCATGCTGCCATACAACAAAACCTACTTCCAGCCGCATCATTTGCGCACTGACATTCGCAGTTGACCCCCAATGCAGACGGTCTTATTTTCGTCATTCATTTGACACTGTTTAAGGCACTTGACGTCTTTGAGGAGCATCGCCGTACTTACCGATTTGAACGCTGCTCGGAAAAGCACCCATAGTGAGTCCCCAAACGCAAGAGAATAGCAATAAAAGCTGATTACAAGAAATCCTCATTTTGTTAGTTCAAATTTGTGAGAGACATTGAGGATGACGTCGGTTGGGTAAAGGACATAAAAGAGAAACGTTGTTAGAAATCCATTTTTGCCAGTTTTGTTCCCCCTGCAGTGGCACGAACCCTGGTGCGACTCCGTCCGGCGGTACTAGACGGTCCACATGCAAGATGGGGGGAGCGACAGCGGTGGGCAGTGTCTACATTCACATACACACACTCATCACACATGCGCCTTCTCACCAGCATCACATAGGCTGCACACACACACTCGTTCTCTTCGGGATTTGTGTGTTCGGTCTGATTTAGTGCCGTATTCCAAAACGGCACGCTTCTTCTCTTCAGCCGACAGAAAGCTGAATTACAGCGCGATCACCCTTTATTGTCTGACCCTCTGAAACAACGCGAAGTTGAACTAGTTGTAATAGCAATTTAGTGCTTCAGGTAGTAGCTTTCAGAGAAATGATGTGTCTGCGATGTAATGAGCAGATTATTATCTGCACTGAAATTCACAAAATAATAAAATTAATATGGGGAAATGCCATCAGTTAAGGCAATTAACACTGGGTGTATAGGCTAGTTCAGATATTTAGTGTAAAAACTGTAAAACACCAAAAAGTACGCAAAAATAGATTTGTGAAATATGATTGAACAAAATTTGAGAATAGGCTACTTTAGCTCTTATTTTTTCATTCTAATCACTGTTAAAAGCATAGTTTACCCTAAAATTAAATAAAAAAAACTAATTTATTTACTCAAAAAAACTGGAAGTTAATGGTTACAGGTTTCCAAAATTTTTTTCAAAATAACTTTTGTGTTTAACAACAAAGAAACTCAAACATGTTTGTGACAAATGAATATGAGTAAATGACAGGATTTTCTGTTTTGGATAACCTATCCCTTTAAATGTCAGTACATTTACACAACTGTGTTTTGAGGGCCTGGAAATACTTACTTTTCAGACACTGAAACAAAATGTTACAGGACAGAAAGCCAAAATGGCAGATTTTGGCCCTTGAAAGAGACTAACGTCATTTAGCACATTTTGTTGACATTTAATGAATGACCGCTGAGTTTCAATTTTCTGGTCTTTAACTCCCTATTCTATTCAGTCCCATAAATCATGCTGTTCATCACAATCTCAATTTCCTACTTTTCCACATCACCCTTACTGCTTCGGCAAAACTTCTAGTTTTAAATTTTAAGGAACACTTTGAAAAATGAGCAGTGAGTTAGTGATATTTGGCTTATTTCAAATGTATTGATTGAACTGTTGCAAAAAAAGTGATTTTTCTTTAAAATAATCTTCCAATTAATCCAAAAGGTGAACCAAAAACTACTTTAAATTAAAGCCCTGAGCTGGTGCTTTAGAGTGGTTTTCAAACTGAAAAGGATTGATCATTTGGAAATCTGTGCCATTTAAAAGATTGAAAACCTTTGCTTTATAGAAAACCCAGCCAGGACATTCATCTGAATAACTATTACAAAACTATATAAGCAAATATAAAGCTTTAATGTTTTAAAAACTGGTGAATTTAGTTAACTACTAAACAATTTTGTAAAAGAGGTACTTCAGAAGTCTCTTCAGTCGAGAGACTCTCTTCAGTACCATCCATGGTTGTTTCAAATGGGTAAATACTTGCAAAAGTGACTTTTAAATGTCACTTGCAGCTGTTTGTCCTCCCTCATATTTGAATGGCCAAATCAATTAGGCAGCTTTAACCAACCATGGCATTCACTGTGCGTGAACAGACGTTCTGTAGAGTCTGTCAACTGCAGTGTCTCTGTCCAAGGTCCTAAATCTGCTCAGCTCCATTCAAATTCAAAACAGAGCATGTGCAAGAGCTAGCTCAATCTCTGTTTTCACCACAAGAAGGGTCTATTTACAGTTTGAAAAGATGTAATGCTTTAAAACAGAAGCTGTGGTCTAATGTTGACTGCACATAACATTGCACAACAAATAAACAATTATGGAGGAAAATCTGACTTCACTGGAGAACATTCCTTTAAACTTTAAAAATGATGCTTAAACAGAGTAACTTTTTTTAGTTGTCATGAACCTAAAATGTAATAGTTGTTTCCTATCTATTGGAATGTATCCATAGGGTCTACGTGATGACACCTGTAATAGTGTGTCCACCATTTTTGTGACCGAACTCTATTATGCTGTGTGGTGCTGGTGCTGAAATAGCTGAATTAGTGGGGGGAAATAAGTATTAAACACTTCATGTTTTTCCTGGGAATAATATTTCTAAAAGGGCTGTTGATATCGAATTGAACCAAATTTTGGGGAAGAAAACAAACATTAAAAAAAATTAAATACAAATAAACTTTTGAAAGAAAATTTTGATAGATCTGTTGGTCTCATTTATTACATCGGATCCTTATTTTGTGAGATTTCTATTGGATTCAAGTCAGGTGATTACTGGGCTATTTTACAGCTTGATTCTCTTTCTCTTTTCCATTTGAGAGTTCCCTTGGCTGTGTTTTGGATAATTATTTTGCTAAAATGTCTAACCTAGTTTTATCATCATCATCTTGGTAATCTAGATGTTTGACTGAAAAGCTAATATAAATGTACAATGATGAAGGGCAGAGGATTGCTGAATAACTACTGAGAGATTTCAGCTGCTGTCTGGGCTTTCACTGCCTTTCTACACTTCCCTTTTGTGTCTTCAATACCTTTCCTCTGTGTCATTTCATTTTATTACACATAACTTAATTTGTAAATTAATTAGTTTTGTTTTCTTTGCATATATGGATTTCTTTGGTTGTAACCCACATCCAGTAAAATATTGTCAATAGCACTTTTAGATATTTTCGTACCAAAATGGTGATGTGCTTGCATTGATCGACTAATGTTAATTCTTAGTGAAGACAGCATAAATTGCACTACTTGACTTTCGTTATTACTGAATAAAAGCACAGTTTTTGTTATGATTGAACAAATTAAATAGCCCTTTTACACTTTGTCTTACTCTTATTTGCCCAACCTAAAATGATGGAGGATGCTATAACTTATGGGTTTTTTCACTTTCATGAGATTAACAGACCATCACTCAACCATACTGTCCAGGAATGCCCTGGGATTTGTTATGTGTTAATTCTTTAGATGTACAACGCTTTCTGTGTTCAGGTTCATCTTTAAACACACTTTGACTGATTAACATGTCCCGAAATGAAGTAGTGATAGGCTTCAGTGTAAATGCCCTGAGAGCATCACTGCTGTTTGGAGTGGATTGTGAACAAGGAATATGTAAATTTCACCAATTTTAACTTCATTTCTAGACTTTATGGTGCAGCAGGTCACCAAAATAGATTTTTTTAAATATGTTTGGTTTTATGTGAGTTTTTTGATCTCCAGTAGTAGGCTATATGTCCTAAAGATTACTATGTTGCTATGGCAAACGGTAGTGAAGCCGTGAATAAATATACAGAATTGAGACAGACATGGAACAGATTGTAAGGGACAAAACACAATTGAGAAATCCTCAGATAGGTTATGACCAGCATTTGTCTATTGTTTGAGAATATATTGATTTCATTTAACAAATAAGGTAGGTGAAACAGCTTTTTGAACAAGAAAAAAATGGGTAAGACTTGATTTGATTGGGTGATTGGATTGTTTGCTATTGGTCAATCTCTTGTTAGTGACAGCTTTTTCCACCTTTGCATCTGTAAGCCTGTCTGTGTTTTTGTTGTTTTAGTTTGGTTTATTCATGTCACACCCCTTTATGTTAGTTCTCTTGTGTTCTTTATTAATTGTCTTGGTTATTTATTGTCTTCACCCCTATGTCAGCTTGTCTAGTTAATTGTTGCTTTGTGTATGTATACCCGGTTCTGTTAGCCCTTCATTCTCAGAAATTTTCTCAGTTATGTGATGTCTGTGTGTGCACAGGTTTGGTATTGTTATCCTTTAGTTTGTTTTAGTTATGTTGTTGTGCTGTGCGACTTCCCTTTGCCGTCAGAGTCGTGCAACTTCTTAGTGTCGCCAGAGCCATGTGACCCATATGTCTCCCAATCCTAGGCCTCTTGACCCAGTAGGGTTGTGTGAACCACCAGTGCTTCTCGAACAAAAGACTCTTTTGTGTCTAAAATCCCAGTGTCTCCTAAAACAAAGCCTCCTAACCCACTGGGTTTGTCTAAACTGACAGTGTCTCCTGACTAAGCCTTGATCCCGACTCACTGTGATTGAGTTTGAACTGCCAGTCCCTCCTCCTGAACCTGAGCCTCCTGATACACTGGGGTTATCTGAACCACCACTGCCTCCTGAACCACAGCCTCTTGACCCACTGGGGTTGTCTAAACTGCCAGTGTCTTCTGACCCTAAGCCTCCTGACCCACTGGGGTTGTCTAAACAACCAGTGCCTCCTGAACCTGAGCCTCCTGACCCAATGGGGTTGTCTGAACTGCCAGTGTCTCCTGACCCTAAGCCCTCTGACCCAGCATGGTTGTCTGAACCGTCAGTGCCTCCTGAACCAAACCCTCTTGACCCACTGGGGTTGTCTAAACTGCCAGTGTCTCCTGACCTTGAACTTGAGCCACTGAGATTGTTTGAACAGCCAGTGCCTCCTGAGCCTCCTGAACCACTAGGGTTGTCTAAACTGCCAGTGTCTCCTGACCCTAAGCATCCTGACCCACTGGGGGTGTTTGGACCACCAGTGCCTCCTGAACCAGAGCCTCCTGACCCACCAGGGTTGTCTAAACTGCCAGTGTCTCCTGATTCTAAAGGCTGATTTATACTTCTGCGTCAAACGCACGCGTATGCCATGGAGCAGCCTATGCGTGGACGCATAGCCCTCGCCATGGCCGTCGGTGCCGCTGATGTCCACCTCTCAAATAAGTCTGGTGTATACTTCTTTGCGAGTAGTCGTGCATTTATACTTCTCCGTGCTGTTTCTGTTGCTCTGCAATACACTTCTGAAACGCTAGCTAGCAGTATGTATTTATGTTTCTCTGTGTCGAGATTCTTCGCTGGTGCATATGCGTAGCATACGCGTGCACTTGACACAGAAGTATTAATCAGCCTATAATGTAACTACACGTCACAACGACTCATAGCGCAAGTGATTGGTCGGCTTGGAAGTGCTGACAAGTGTGGGCGGAACTGAGAGCCACTTGAGTCCGTTGGAGAGAGTGTTTAAAAGTATTGAGTGCTGTGAAGAAACTCCAG